GACAGATAGCATGGAAATTCTGTTGGATCTTTGGGACTTCCTTGGTGGACTTGTGAGAAGTTGCAAGAACACAAAATGCCACATGGAATCGTGAAACCCACAGAAGAAGTCTGCTAAACTCACAAACCAAATGTTTTTGAAGTCTCTCTCCACCTAAGTATAAACAATACATTTGCCACGTATATAGAAGTAGTATAGACTCCAAACAAAAATCTAAATCAATCAACTAAAAATCAATTTCAGAATAATATAAGATGATAAAAAGCATTGTTAAGACAAAAAAAAAAATCAGGCTTGAATATAAAATATTTCTCAAAGTGTTTTTGAAAGTTTTAACACTTCAACTGAGGACTAAAACAAATACCACAAAACTTCCCTGAACTTGCTTTCAGATTCAGGCTGACAATATTTATCTTGCAAATACTATTTTACCATCTTTTTTTTTTGTTGTCTGTGTTTGTGGTGAGGCACTTGTGAAAATTGCTTACTGTGGTGGTACACAATCTTAATTGACTCATGGACAATAGAGTAAGTAGGGTCCAACAAGAAAATTCTACTTTTGTTCCCTCACTTCATGTTTGAATTTTATGACAGTTTGGGAAAGACAGCCTTGCTTGCAACAAGTTTGTTGTGAGCTATGGTGTCATTATTTTCTGAGATGTCATTTGTTGATAAAGTGTATTAATTCCTTTGAGAGAGAACGATTGACTCCTCTGCACTTTCATTACAGTTGCCTGAGCTTGAGCATTGTAAATGTCCTTGTCTACTTTTGCCTTTTGTGTCAACTTGGGATAACAACCATGACTTTTACCACCAATTTGGATTCATAGATGTGCAATTCCCCAATTCACTCATGTGGTTAATGTATTCGTCCTACAACACTGTATTTCAGTTTCAGGACAGTGATGGTTGGAGAGGAACAGTTGCCACAAGTAAAAGTAATGAACCATTTAGCAGCTATACTGCAGTCTGTTGTAAAGTATCTTATGGTGTCTCTCTCCATCCCCATCCATCTGTAGCAATAATAATGTGAGGCAGTCTTTGAAATAGTGGCACCACCAAGGGACAATACCAGGCATTTCATATCCAGTTCAAGTTCCCATATTGTTTCTGACATTGGCTCCATTAATACAACTGTGTCACACCCTGGTCATAAAATTGAGCGTCTGCAGATATTCCGGTTCCTTGGTGAGTGTAGGATACAGGAGTGAAGGCAAGATAACACATTCTGGTTGTGATGAGGAATACAATAACCCATCACCATAGCAAAGAGCACATTTTATTTGAAAAATACGAATAAAAGATTTTGTCCCTTTTGTTTATTAAAAGAAAATGTAACAATTTTCTATCAGTAACACTTGCATAAGGAGGTATACTTTACATTACTCTTTTGTTAAAAAAAATATATATATTTTTGGAGACTTTGGAAAAATAAGAATGGCCCAAAACTTGTAACACACTTCTACTGTTCCTTAGAATGCACCGTGCCATTTATACGTACTGCAAGTACAAGGTCTTAGCACTTTATAATCCACAAAGTAATGCTAGGCAGCATAATTTCATATTCTTCTTTGCATACAGAATATTCCCTTTGTTACCCTTGTGTGAGTTTATGAGTTTGTTTGGTTAATTCCAGACTGGTCCAATACTTATTTTTTTAAAGGATGATTTAAAAAAGTTTTAGACCACAAAAATTTTGTAATTCCTCTTAAATACCATAAATAATACTTTCCCATAGACATTTTCTTTCAGTATTCACAATTTAAACAATTGCATCAATTAGAATTAAAACTCAAAAATGTTTGCAGTTATTTTAGTTTTCTAAAAAGAATGCAAAAAAATAAAGTGCATAACAGAGTGAAATTACTTTCAACTTTTACAGTATTCTATGTGTATGTAATAAAAGGTAACACTGATAAACAAATTAATTTGTTTTCAATGTATGAATCTTAATCTAACGCCAGCTGAATTCAAGCTCTTTCTTGTCTTTAAAGTGCATTAAACTACATTTTTGACAGGTTTTAGTTTGACAATTAAGTTTCACATTTTTCAACTCTTATACTGACCATTTTTTTATTATTTTGACTTGTCAAGATTACAGCATACTGAGTGCCCTCACCATTACAAGAAAGAGGGTTTTTTAAAAGGAATGCAGCTAATTATTTTGGTGGAAATGTACTATTAGTTGAATGGTTGTTGTAGAAATCAAATTGTAAATAGAAAAGCCCTTAAGTATCACTTGCATGTGCCATTTAACTTTACTCAGTATTTTCAGTTTAAGTCAAACTGGCAGTTTTCAGCATTTAGTTGTTAAGCAGCAACAGGATTACTATTTAGGCTAATAGGAAAATACTTGAGAATATGAGTACACAAAAGATCCATGAAAGCTTTAAGCATAGTATATATAATCAGACTTAACCATAAATTGAGAAAAAGTTTGTCACAAAACTTTCACTGAATATGTGCTGTGTTTAAATCAGCAATGCTGCAATAATGATTGTGCCATCCAGTGTTAATTTTCTTTTACTTCAACATAGAATCTAGGTCAACAGCGAATTTCTCAAATATAGTTTAAATTTGGTTTTAGGATATAAACGACCAAAGGAAAAAAAAAATAAGATTGGGTTAATAAAATTGTAAACTTGTTATTTCTGCACTGTGAGGCCTTCTTCTGTGGCCCTGAAGATTTAACATTCTGTTACTTGTCATGCAAACAACACGACACTGTGATGTGTATTTGAGTAGAGCACAGTAAGCATAGCAAGCATGCAGACACATCATGATAGAAAAGCACATCTGGCGATCACTGTGGATGGGACGCACCAAACAGGACACACCGCAGCATCACAGAAGCAGCGTCTCAGTAACCCTGCAGCGTTTCAAAGGATTCAGGTTTCCTGGGGTGTGATGCATGTGCTGTGTAGCACCAAAGACAGCACCAGGAATGGCAAAAAGGGAAATATTTCTCTGAGTTATTATTAACTTCAACTGACCATTAGCATAAGGAATGACTATTTGCTTGTGTCACTGCACTTCTGTTGCCTGTAAGTCTGAATGTTCTGTGATGTAAATTAAAAAAAAACAATGGCACAAACACTGCTTTAAACACAAAATACAATTGATTTTCTCTGCTTTGGTGTAGGGCCAGAGGGAATAGACATAAAGATAACTAATACCCAGTTCTCAAAACTATAATACAACAATGAATGCAATTTTCATGCAGCTGTGATACAAAGTATTATGGTAGTAGTAATGCTGAAACATTTTGCTTTTAACACGCTACTCATACAGTATAAAAATTTAGATGTTGGCATAAAGCAAGTGTGACTTAAATAAAAAGAAAATTGCTCCTAATAAAATCACACAATACTACTTGCTTTATTTGGGACAAAACTGAAACATATCCTAGTTCTACCCCCAAAAAAGACAATAAAAGACAACCATTCTCAGCTTGTGTGTAACTCTTACTGCATCTAACTTCCCTCTACAGTAAGAATGCCTCCTTAAATGCTTTTCTAAAAGATTCTGTATTTCATAAAAAGCATATAAAAAATTACACAAATTATTAAACTACTTTCAAACCATCAGCAGAATATCTGAGGGTTCAGGTGTTTTTCCCTACTAAATTTTATGTGGGTTCAGATTCTGAAAGAAAGAAGAGTAATTACAAATTTTAAACAAAATAGTGTACAAAAAAAAAAGCAACTCTGGAACTACAGTACAATTAATACTTTTCAGAGTGTAAAAGTTGCTTACAAAGGTACTTGCTATTTTTTCCGGAAGGCTGTTTAAACCAAAAGCAGTCAACTACATCTCAGGAGAAAAAAAAAAATCTCTTCAAAGTAAACTGATCAGAAATTGCAGTCATGTCTAGGACCTATCCAACCATAGAGTAAAGAAAAGAAGGCTAAATTATCTAGTTCACCTGTGAGGCTCACAGTAGATCAGCAATAAATATAGACTCTTCTTTACTAAGCTGAATATAAGTGACATCTAAAATGCAGAGGGGGGAATCTAGTGCAGCATACAAATCTGTATCACTCTGCACTCCAGACAGCAGAGTAAGAAAAAAAGTACCCAGCTTCTACTCTGGATAGTTTTCCAATCAAATGCACACTGGAAGAAATCAATTTGCCTAAAGTGGAGCTAGAATTAAGAGCAGAGGACTGTTGATAATGATCGTGAGTATTATAGGTCACAATCTCTCATGAGATATTATGAGTTCCTGGTCCTCTCACAGTATTATCACCAGAAAGACAAAGAAAAGGTTAAAAATCCAAACAAAGGAAAAGAAAAATCCAAATCTGTTAGATGAGGTGCTAATCAGGCTGCTATGTTAAACAGAACTGTTTAGCAGTTCTGCTGCTGCAATGCTAAAAAAAGAAAAAAAAATTGCTGGATTAGGTGTTAAGCAGCTTGCTATGTTAAGGAGAACTATCATTTCTGCAATGCTTCGAAGTTACTAATGTAAAAAATCAATTTACTTTAATCCATAGGAACCACAGTAATGGTATATCTCTTTCACTGACTTAAAATGCTCTTGTTTCCATGATGCTTGAAATAGGGAAAAACCATCTTGTTCTGCTGCGGTGGCAAATGCTCTAAGAGAAATAAATATCAGTAGAATTGAATTTAAAAGAAAAACGCATCATCATCTTATTCTCCTTGCTTCAGTTTTCACTATCCCAATGTCTTACCAGCAGCCCTATTTTGCTTTTAGTCACACACAGAAATAGAAAAACATTGTGATTAAGAACTCTGGGTTTTAAACAGACTGTTGTAGCTTCTGGACTCAGACCAGCAAAAGATTTAAAAAGCTTCAGCTCTTGACACAAGTGAAGCACAGTGAACCAAAAAGCCATGTCGTTTAATGGTGCTGCCATTGTTGTTTTTACTGAAAAAGCCTATGCTTCATCTGCTTTGCTGCATAAAGTGTACTTTGGACCTATTCCATTTAGATGAATGATGTTTCCATGAAAAGACAAAAAAAAAAAAAAAGAAAAAAAGAAAAAGCACAACACTCGAAACAACTGCTCCTCCAGCACGCAGTAATAGAGCAGGTCTGGGGTTATGGGCTAGAGCTGAGTTTGAGATACAGATAATGATGCCCTCCATCTGTTAGCTGGTTATGGATGACAAGATTATGAAGGACATTACAAAATGACAGCTTCTCAATGCAACCTGCTAAGTCAATAAGATTAAATCATCAAAGGACCATTTATTTAAGAGGACAGGTGTGGCTTATCACCTCTGTAAAGGAAACAGACTGGTATCACTTCTCACACTGATAGTAAACCTCATTGTCTACCTCATGTTGGGATCACAAGGCCTAGAACACAGCTAGAAATGCAACATCACAACCACCTGCAAGACATTTGATCCTTTTTTAGCTCTCTTCTCAAACAGACATGACCATAAACTTACAGCAGCTTGGAGCTGTTATGCATATTGCAATAAAAATATCATTTCTTGGCTTTACTTTAGGTATTGTTGCAGATAAGGTACCAGACACTTTAATGAGCAATTAAAAAAAAATACACAAGGGACAATAGATTCTTTTTTCTGTATTTTCCAAAATTTGACTTTCTTTCAATTGGAGAACCCAGTTTCAAATATGAAAAGGGCACTTGTTCTACAGTAACTGCATACAACTTACTCAGTTCCAAGTACTGTATTCATTTTTTTTTTTTTTTGTTACCATTGTTGTCATTATCTGTCCAGTGGTTTAGGAACTTCTCTGTTCTGGGAATTACAACTAAGTTGTTCTTTCTGGTTCTATTTCCCCATAGAGTTCAGCTAGCTTCTTGAACTCGGGTCCCCAGTCTCCAAGGTAATTATAGTCCTGGTCAGAGTGTGTCGTTGCTGAATCCAGAGAGCTGATAGACCCAGCTTCTGATCGATGACCCTCATAGGCATATGTCTGCAGGGAGTCATATGGGGGCACGCTGGGGTCCAGATCAGCCTCTGCCAGTCTTTGATTAAGGAACTCCTGAACATCTATACTGTCAAGGCTTGAGGAGGGATGATGCCTGGACAGAGGCTTCACTTCAGGCCGAACATCCCTCCGGTATTTCAGCTCTTCAGCAGCAGATGGATTCCGCAGTGCTGTGATGTCAAATGCTTCCGTGTCTTCCTCTCCACCTCCCTCATCATCGTATGTCACAACATTTTCCCGGACATCTTCTTCTGAAATGATCAAAGGCTCCTTCTTGCTACGTCTTAGGGTGATGAAAAGGACCACAATTGCTAAAGAGAAAACTGCAGATATTAGAGTAGGTTTAAAGTTTCCATCTGAGTATGCTACAGAAATAGCAGATACTAAGTCAAAAATACAGAGGTGTAATATTTTCAGGCTGGTATTTTCAGTACTGGTATTCGGGATCATCTGCTACTTAGTTTAATAGGAATCTCATAAAGGAGATAAATGGAGATAACATTCTTTCAGGTAAATGAAAAATGAGCAACTAAAGTTAGCATTTTTCAGAAGCATAATCCAGGGCTTGCAGTGCTTCATTAAAACCAATGTTTAGCATATAAATTGAATTATTATGGAAAACATTTCTTTTTTTCTTATGAATATTCAATTTTGTGTAATAAAATACAAAATTACAAGATAAATGTATAACTGTATATTTTAAAATGGCCTTCTAACAAGAAAATACTGAAGCAAGCTGTAAAGAAAGTAGGTCTTAGAAAACGTAGTCTTTGGGGAAAAAGTCCTCAAAATATCCTCTCGGTTACAATGTAATTGCTATTATTTCTTGCCATCTCTGTGCAGAAAATCACATGAGTAGCACAGAGTCATGCACACAGCAAGTTGTGTCTCTGACAGGAAAAAACAAAACAAACCAAAACCAACCACAATATTAACTAATGGGTAACACAGGAATTGACCTGGAAAAATAAAAAGCCTAAAAAGAGTCAAGAGGAAATGCACTTGTAATGGCATTAATCTTATGAGTCTGCTTATAGCCTCCTATGTCCCTTGTCCCTGTGGATTATGTTGTGCATTGCTATCAGTTTATCCCACAATGGTAATTAAGAAATGGCTTTTGTAGAGTGCTAATGATGCTTCTTACAGCATAATGCATTTCAAAAAGCTTTGCCCATCTATTTTCTACAATTTTTCACTCTGTTCAAAACATGGTATTAGAGTCCTCTCTTTTTGAAATCTTTCCAAATTATGGATAAAAAAGATCTCCAGTGCTAATTACTTGATGGCCTCTGAAAAAATTTTCTACTGGATTCCAGATATTCAAAAATGTACTTTAAAGGCACTTTTCCCCTATGAACTCTAGCTAAACCTTTACCCTCTAATCACAGCTTTGTGTTTCTAATTGCCTCCTACTACCAGGCAACCACTGTTCCAAAAGCATGCCATACTGAAACCTTGCGCCCCGCCAGATTCCGAGAGGCATTGGAGGGACAGCACTACTTAGAATTGCAAATGGCTCACCAAGAAGGATGACAATGCAGAGCAGGATGGCAATTAAAGCTCCCGTGCTCAAGCCAGCTGAGGAGAGGAAAGCTTCAGCATGGCAAGTTCTCACTCGTCCGTCCCTCTCACAGGCACAAACCCGGATGGTGAGGGTGCTGCTGCTGCTGAGAGGGGGAACGCCGCCATCAGAAATCAAAACGGGGAGGTAATAGGTATCTTGGGTGGTTCGACTGTATCTCCTTCGTCTTGTCAGAATACTGGCCGTATTATCTACAATAGCAAAACAAGAACAACATTTCAGTGAAGTAGATGATGAAAAAAAACCAACACGTTATTTACTGTTTGTTTCCCATCAAATGGAAGCATGGGGCTTCCTAAAACTAGCAATCCCTAATCTGTGAAAACGCACAATCTAGAATTAAAATTTGCCAGGAGGCTTTTCTGGTCAATAGATGAGAAAGAGGAGGAGTTGAAAAGTAACTAACATTATATAAATAAGAGTACTTAACACTCTTGTCTTTTTATTGGAATCAAGACAACTTTGACAAACATTTTGGGCCCAATTTGCAAGTCTTTTCATGCTATACTATGCTGTTGGTAGCATATGAACCCTTGTCAAATTGAATACCTGGAATTATGAGGATAACTATTGTAAAATTTTTGCACAACACATCATCCAAAATCCTCTTGACACTCAGTAGAATATTTAAACTCATTTAGTAAAAATCTAAAATGAGACTTTCATGTTTTAGTATTTATTAAAGGTTTAAAAGTCTTAGTGAGCTTTCAGAAAACATCTGAAAGGACAGCGACCAAAGACACGTGCTTTGAAGAGGTCTGGAGGAAGAGGGACTTAATTGAAGTCCAATCAATTAAGATGCATAAAGAGCATGCAGGGGAAGAAATGTTGCACCAATAAATAATTATAGCCAATATTCATATGTGTAAAATTTATTTTCAGTTTATTACCACCACTATTTAATTACTAGCCTCTGAAAAAAAGTCCAAGATAAATAAAAAAAAAAATGGAAACAGTGAGAATTTGAAGCACAAGCAGTTATAGAGAGAGAGAGATGGAGCCTGATAGATGCAGAGACTTTAGAAGAAAAGAGATTTCTTCTTGTATTGCTTGTCACATGGTTTCCAAATTGTAGGGTTATGAGATTGGAGTATTTTAGCAAAAAATAGAAGGGTGATAAGTACTGAATACATCTGCCAGGTTCATCTTCCTATTACAAACAAACAAACAAGAAAATTTCTTATTTTTCCTTACCACTGTAGCTACACTATTAAATGGCTTTATCATAATCTATGGAAAAATGAAATCCATGTAACTCTGTGAAAATCTAGTGCAACAAAATAGCCAGTGTGGCATATATTTGCCCATTAGACTGCTGCACCCACATTTGAGTGAAAGAGTAGGGTTTTTGTTTAAACTGGATACAAGATCGGTTTCAGGTGGTTACTTTTTATGCTATACTTTCTGTCAAGCTCTGTGCAAAATTTAAAACATTAATTTTAACCCACTTTTGCCAACATTTTCTTTTGCATGGCATTTGACAGTGACATTTAGAAAAACTGGCAATATCACCCCACATTAGCATAATATCACAATATATTTGGTAACAGGCTTCACACAAGAAATACATATATGAGCTGGGAAATGATACAATTGCTGATAAACCAAGAACTCAGCACTGAAGTTCTTTAGCTCTACTTCTATACATAAGCAACACCCACAACACGCCTCCACACTCCCCCCTATTTTTGAAATATTGAATATCCGGCATGGTGAGTTTGTTATAAATTCATTAAGTGTTGTTCTTTTCACTTGGAGTGGGTGCAATATTCATTCAAGTTACAGAACCTTACTGCAACCACAATGAGGTGATAATTCTTTAATCTGAAAAATTTTGACAGAACATAAGACCACAGTGCTGTGGAAGACTATAAAATGTCCATGATATAACATTGCAAAGTTAATTGTTAGGTATACATCCTGCCCCCAAAATATTTTGCATTTTGTTGTTCTGGGCCAACTAGAACTCTCACATAACACCCGAGCACAGTCACTGTTATTAACATACACGAGTGACCCTTCTCATGCAGCATGGACAAGAGCGCACCAGGTTTTTTTCTTGCCTCAACATTATTCCAACAGTCTGCAGATCCTTAAGCATTCCTAAATACCTCATGCAGGCACCATGACACACTGTGGCATGTAAATTCCTTTTGCAATATGATAACAGTGTGTTGCTGAGCTGCAATACAAATTTCACATTATTTTGTAAATTCAGAAGAGAAAACCCCATTGATAATGAAGACATTGGGTTCTACAGAGTCAAGAGGAGGTGCAAGGCCGAGTGCTGTGCTTGTCACCTGTGAATTAAATTTTAAAAAGAGTGAATGATCCAGTGCACACTCCAGCAGCAGTGATGAAAATGCTTGCTGACAACAAAAGCATCAGAGACTGAGCATAATGAAGAAAAACTGAGGGCTCTTGATCAGGGATCTTGCAGTAATTTTAGCATAGAGACTATTGGCAAAGATGTAAAGGAAAGAACATTGAGATGTGAGAATGTATGCTACAAGGGTAAATGTGGACAGATGAGAGGAAAATTGTGAGGAAAAAATATTAAAGTTAAGAGAAAAAAGAAAAGAAGAGAAAAACATGAAGAAATGGGAAAATTATACAATTAAATTTTACAGTGAAAGAATGTGAAAAAAGCTATAATTAAACCTTGCTTATCTGGGAGGAAGGCCTTGTCAAAAAAAGAACTCATATTTTTATACTGTAAAGAATAAATACACATTTTTTAAAAAATAGACTTTTTTCTCTTTCAGAATTATATTTCTTTAATTCAATATTAAATTGTTTTTCTTGTACTTTTAACATTATACAACTAACTATAAGATACAATGAAATATTGGTATAAGACACAATTAAGGAAAAAGGGAACCAATACAAAATTTTTAATTTAAAAGAACTGACATGGTGAAGTTTGGTTTTTTAAATTCTCTTGGGTAGTAAGTAGATTTCTGTAGAAACAGACGTTGCATGAAATCCTCAGAAGTTTCTGTAATAACATGTCCCATGACAAACATTTTCAAAGAAACAGTGTGAAGTTTTTCCTTCAAATTTCACAAATTTTGACACAAATAAAATATACAAGTAAAATACTGGAAGGTACTATTTTTGTCTCATTAAATTTCTTAAAACCTTTTACAAAGGAGATATCTAATATTTTTTCAAGAAAGGAAACTGTGTCTGATTTTCCAAAGGTCACTGAGAATCAAGCATAGCAGATAATTATCAAAGCCAATCATATTGCCATAACTCAGAGATTATATCTCTGATGCTCTAGTCAGAACTCCATTCTTGAGGATAATCATATGCAAAGGTATACTAACATAATGAATGGAGAGAAAAAAGTTTCTTGCAGCCAAACTGCAATATTGACTGCATCCTGAAAACCAGCCAACATGCTGGTGTTCTGAGCTTTCAAATTTTAATTGCTTTTGTTCCTTGTCAAAAACCATTATAGAAACGTGTTGAGAGAAGAGCTAGAAAGACAGCAACTTTTAAGAGCTTTGCACAGAACAAAAATTCTCTCCATCTGTAAAAGCTATAGGAAGCCAAGTATAGAGTCTGACACTGATGACCTAGAAAAGAGTTTATTGAAAAGGGGAAAAAAGTTATATCAACAGAAGTAGTTTGAAAGGGAGCCAAGGGGTTATGCAGTGAGAAATTTCTTTGGTATCTGAAAAAAGATACAGCAAATAGTTGGGGAAGGCAAGCGTATAGAACAGCAGCAATAGCAATAGGATGAGGAGCTCTACAGATCTCATTCTTCTAGACCTGGAAGGAAAGATTTTTTTATCTCAATAGATTTAAATGGTGAACTTCACCCTTGGGGAGTATGATAAGAACCAGGACTCACTGGAGATTACAGGACTGACTGCTAAGGAAAATTAACTCTCACATAAGCAAATAAATATTTATCTAATACCCTGTGTTATACATTGCTCCATGTAATGATCTAAACTTTCTAATGATCTAAACTTACTCCTGTTTGGGCTGCTCTTTGTAAATACGTCAACTAGAAGTTAAGCTTTATCTTAAGTGAGTTTGAGGTTACCCATGGGAAATGCTACAGGGCTGTAACACAGCAACTCTTCACACTCTGAAGATGTCACAGTTTACTAATCCAGGCTGTACACTCTATACAAGGCTGTTATCACAGTCTTTTTTCCATAATCTCTGCCTTTTTACATTGAGCTTTTAAGCTAAATAAAGAAATGAGGGCATAGGAAAATCAAGGAAACAGAGATACAGTGGTAAGGCCATGGAAGCTGACTGCAGGAGTGCATCGGAGGATGCTCGTTTATTATTAACAATTTGAGAATTCCTTTGACACATTACACATTAAATGCAGACACAAGAGAAACGGAGGTAAAAGGAAAAAAAAGTAAAATCCTGTTTATGTCTTAAGGCATGTTTCAATTTTCAGTTCTGCTTGTGTCAGCAGTTCAACTACTATAAATTTTCTGAGAAGTCATAAACTAATTAAAACGAAAGAAGATATATTGGAATGATTTGCATTTCTTACATTTCTAAAGTTGGAGCTGCTAATTTGTTTATGTGAACTTCATGATATGCATTTCTGTTTCATTTCTTTATTGATAGCTCTTGTAAATATTTTTTCTCTTTTGCTGTCTTCAAAGCCATTGCCAATGGGCACGAAGCTATTGTAAGTTTCTAGTTCAGTGGGTAGCAAAAACGAAAAGTAACATAGAACTCATTTTTGGTCTGAAATATAGTTATTTGCTTATAGTTGGTGTTTGAATCACCAACAAGTTGCAGTCCAGAAAAGAAATGCAGATCCTCTACACTATGCACTAAAATAACTTTATGATCAGTCTTAGAGCTAAATTTTTTAAAATAAAAAAAATTTCAGAGATGTTCAGAGGCCTGAAGAGGGAAAATGTCTTCCCTCTACAGTAGCTGTTCCTGGTTTTCTGTTATAATCATGGTAGAATTCCTTTTTAACTTCCATATGTTGATTCTGTGATAATACCTACTCAGACACTTACTCCATTTACAGTAACAGTACTTCTGTGGACTGCACTTCAGTCACCATGTGTGATGTTAACTTTGCACTTTCTCAGATATCATTTCTCTCCAGTTACAACTTGTCCTCTTCACAGGATGATAATTTACAGAAGGTCAACAGTAATTCACAGTACCACATAACCAGAACAAGCACGAC